GAGGTGGGGGAGGGAATAACAGCCACTGCTTCTATTGAGTAGTAACTCTGAAAACAAGAATCTCGCATTTGGAAAAAGAGGTATGCACCAAAATCAGTGGCGGAGGCAAGGATTACAAAAATAAGGAAAAACAAATAAATAAATAAATAATAAACACGGGAAGAAGCTGTTGAACGAACTTTCCCGAAAATTAACCTTATATATATAATAATCATAAATTTTTTGTGAAGGGAATTCGGATGAATCTTCTTCTGCACCTTAACTCGCCCATGACCATAGTGGATGAGAAAATTCAACCTCTTTTCTTATTATATAAAAAAGGGTTAAAAACTTGAAGCTCCTTGCCCGTTTACACACACTATTCCAAGTGTAATAGCAACAATCAAGATGCAAAAGCTTCTATGATTTGTTACATTTAGCCGAGGCTGTACATATTCTTATCTACTACAGACTACAGCACCAAATCTTTTTATACAAGTACAAGTAAAATAGGAGGACAAAGCGTTCAGAACAAGATTAAACATGTGACAAAGCAACAAAAGAGGAAAAAACATATTCTGCCAAGTGATCTATCAGCCTGTAATAGTTGCCTTCTCAATCTTGGACTACTACTCGCGGCTACATTATAAGAGTTTGGATATGTATACAAAGTTGTAGATGAGTTCCCAAAAATCCTAGCATTAGCCACTTCTCCGATAATAGGGTGCAACATATTAGCTGTGGTGCCACCAGGGCTAAGAATAGGTGAGGCCATGTAACTTCCTTGATAAGGTTGATGCGTTTGAGACTGTTGTCGTCGTTGAAGTAACTGGGATTGATTTGAATCAGTGGTTGATATCAGCGTGTGATCGCCACATCTAGGAGTAGGAGGCCTTTGTGGAATGACAATACCAAGATTTGGAGCCTTTCCATCAGATGATTTTGTAGATTGGCCGCGCCCATAGAGTGGAATCAATGTTTTTTGTGAAACTTCAGATTTGCAAACAGGGCATTGTGGCTGTTGCTGATCTGAATTTTCTGAAGAATCAGTCTGGAAATGAATCCATTTGTAAATACAAGGCCAGCAGTAGAGGTGACCACATAAAGTTACCACAGGATCGTGCACGAGATCCAGGCATATGTTACACTCAAAACCACCAGAAACATTGTCTTCAACTTCATCGTTCATTGCCTTCCACTTTCCTAATGGAGTATCGTGTTTGCCAAAGGTAGTGTCGAGCTGTTCTAAGGCCATATCCTGTTTCTTGATGTAACAAAGTTGGCTTCTAATGTCTGTAAAAACAAATTCAAGGATCTCAGTACAAAAAACAAGACTTGAAATTCATGAACACTAAGAACTAGTACCAAAACAACTGCATATTAAATCTCAAGGTTGGTACCAAACAATTTAAAGGTGCAAGGACAAAATAAAAGGCCCTACGCAATACTAAACGTACTAGACATAATAATAAATTTCAAGACTCTAGGCCCTTTTATTTGTTCTAGTCTAGATTAAGATAAAGTGCATTGTCAATAAGATGTAGCACAAGTTGCGTACAATGATAAACTACCTATTGATTTAATCAAAAGCCATATCCATTAGCTATCATAAAATTCCAAATATCATAAGAGGAGAAAATCAGTTTCTCAAAGGACAACAATTTCATAAAAATATTTAGGAACTATGGAAATTATTGAAACTGCCTATATTTCTTCTTGAGTCGTTTGGTTTGGAAACAAGTTATCCCATGATTAATTATCTCGGCCGGGATTGTTATCCCGTCCTCCTATTGGATAAAAATAACACTAGTTATCCCGTAAATTAGTTATACCGCGATTTTATCCCAACCAAACATGGATAAACCCATTTCAAATTTAATCCTGAGATTAATTATTCATTATCCCTCGTACCGAACAAGCCCTAAGTATTTAATTTTGTTCTTGGGAAAAGAAATGAGAAGTTAAAAATGAAGAAATTTGCTAGCTGGAAAGAAGGTTGAAGAAAATAAAAGTCTGCACCAACAGCATTTAATATAAATCTAACTAGAGCTTTTAGAATATGTGTATCCTATCAACCATCCAACTAACAGGCCAATCCAAATTTAATAGGTAAAACAACCTTTGGGATAAGGCTTTATCAAAGACTGTACAAATCAAAGTACTGTATTTATTATGAAAATCATAAAAGGAGTTATAAAATCTATGTTATTGTCCACAGACTCTCCAAATATGGGTAGCTAAGGAACATCTTCGTGGCATAATCTGGTTCTAACAGGAAAAATTTAGTGATTCAACCTGATCTATGCTATGTGAAATGAAAACTATAAAAGCCAAAAAAAAAAAGGAAAAGAAAAACTATAAGCATCCTCTGATGTTTGAGTCTTTTATCTCAGATGACTAGTATCTGAATTTCTAGCATTTATAGCATTCATCAGCTTGCCAAAAGAAGGCCTAATCTGATTTTCCAATTTCTCATTCAAAATCTCAATACTAAGCACCTCTATGTTTATTAGTCCTACTAAGCCAAATTTACAATTCCACCTTATATTTCTATACAGAACTTTTATTATCTTCTAAGAAAGTTGACTTCACGTTCATCCAAATTCACAGTCAATGCCCATAAATCCCACCACCCACCCAAACAGAAAGGAGAAAAACTACAAAGTACAAACCTCATTAACAAGAACCACAAAAACATGATGTTTAACATACAAAGAACTAAAAACATAAAGATCTAAACTCTCAATAAGAAAAATCCAAACTTTGCCTCAAATCTTTTAAAATACAGAGGAGCTATACCCTTTCTAAACTAAATGAATAAAAACCTGAAGAAACAGATAGAGAGAGACCCAAAGAATGAAAAAAGATACATACCCAAATAGTATTTTTGTATCAAGAACGTTATCCAATAAGAAAGATATAGTCTTGTTTTGCCAACAGAGATAAAGGAAAAGGATTGAGTGTTTAGTAGGAGAAAGCTAAGAATCCTTTTTGTTTAAAAGCAAAGGAGAAACAGAGCTAAAAAAAGGGGAATTACAGATGAAGAGTAGATAGATATGAATATGATGAAGTGGTTGAAGCTTGGCGCTATATATATATACTGCTTTATAAAGACACGCCTATACATATAAAGAGGTCTGTATCTATAGGATAATTAGAGTGTATAAACTTACAAATAAATGTAATTATTATTAATTTGTCATTTGTTCTTCTGGATGATAAGTACACAATGGAAACGCAAAGTGGGGTCCTCGTCTTTGTCCCCTCTCCGACGTGGCACTTACGGGGGGTTGCGTACGCCGTTTGTGTGGCTCCGTTTTCTTTCTTTGGATTTGTTCTATTTCTCTCTGTAAGTGGCGTTTAGATTCATTTTGATTTAAGCTTTTGGGAAATCGGTTTTTGAAAACTAATATTACAGAAAGTTGTATGTGTTGGAATAATTTTTGGAAAAGTTTTTCGAGGAGTTCACGTAAAAAGAATTTCTGAAACAATGACATGAAGCTAGAATATAGAGCATATGTCAATCTTAATAGCATGTTAAATTGGTTGATCATTTCATTAGTATTAGATGTGCATATTATTATTTACCTAATTTTATCTTTAACGTGTTTGTTAGTCGTTGTGAACATTTATCTTTAGATTGTTTCACCTTTGTAATAAATTATTTTAATTGATTTTCCAAAGGAAAAATATTTTTTAAAATCCAAATAATTTTATTTTTTTTTGAGAATTTTATATAACTTCTCAAAAGGTAAAAGGCTTGTTTTTTTCTTTTACTGGTTGCCTTAGTAAAGTAATCTTTGAAGAGAAAGCTATGGCACAACTGCTCACCTATAAGTTGTGGGTTTGAAGAGTGAAACAAATGGAAAACATCGTATTATGTACGCCCTTTTTCCACCGTTTGAGCATTAGCAAGTGCAAATTATGTGAGGAAATGCCCTTTTCTAAACTAAAGGTTCTTTAAGTGTAAAACCTAACCGAACTCATAAATAAAATCGGTCATTAGAATAAAACACTTATGATAAACACTGAACTATTTGTATAAGAATAAGATCAACAACTGAGTCTTAAAGAGTTCAAAGTGTTTAAGGACTAAATAATTTTTGGGCAAAAGAGAAAAAAGCCATTTTTCCTTTTGCTACTTCCTCCTTTGCTGACTCCTTTGCTGACTCGGGAAGATAATTGATAAGTTGGTATTTTGCTAACTTATTCATACTTTTTTCTTGATGTTTAAGATTCTTAAAGTAAGATTTAATAGTTTTAACTAACTTAATGTGGTTGATTTCAGGTGTGTCAGCTTAAATGATATAGTTGATGAAATAGTGGATCAAAAAAGATGAAAAGAGATGGAATTTGGAGCATAAGATTGAAAAGTGAAGAACAATGTCTTCACGGAGGTTAATTGTGGAGCCAAAACTAGGGGTGCAAAAGTGCATGAAAAATGTTCTAAGTCGGAAAAATTTGGAGCAAAGTCTTCCCAACTCCACAATCTTGATCGCCTCCACGAACTACTCCACGATCTTAAAGGGCATCTGAAGCAAAGAATTGTGCACGATCTTAAAGTCCCATGCCAACCTGAGGACAGATGGGTTCAAGGGACGAGAAATACAGAATTATCTACAGCAGAACCGGCTAAAAAGACCGAGACAAACTCCATTGCAGTAGTTGAGGCACCAGCTATTTCTGAGGCTAGCCAATCTGAAGAGCTAGCCTCCGTTATACCTCCTACCAGTATTCCAGTTATAGGAACATGGCTCTTCTTCCACAGCTGAGGGGCCTGTGATCACCTCTTCAGGTACCACTGTCTTGCCTTTCAGGAACGTCAAATTAATCTGTGCCTGCTGTTCAGAAGACAATGTATGGCAAGCTCACCAAAATAGAGGAAAGATTGAGAGAACTATGCATGGCAAAAGTCAATCTTTACATCCACAGAACCAATGATGAAAATACTAGAGCAATTATTGAAAACTCAAGCTGAGCAAGTAGAAAGAGAGAAAGCAAGGGATGAGAACGAAAGAGAAAGAGATAAAAAAAAAAACTAGCTAAAATTGAAGAGACTATTGCTAGTATGGAGAAGAGGATACAAAAGCTTGAGAAGTCAACAGAGTCTGAGGATGTGAAAGATAAGCTTACACAGTTGTCTACTGATGTGAGGATACTTAGGAAGGCATGGGGTAATTCAACAGAGGAAGGTGAAGAGTTGGAAGATGAAGATGAGTCAGAGAAAGATCAAGAACAGGATGACCCAGCTGAAGAAGTCCCTGATGATCATAAGAGAGCAAGTGCAATTGCAATATACATGCACACAATGGGACAATCAATTTCAGAAACGGATAGAGACTTTCCAGATATACATGAGCCATCTGAGATTGAGATTGCTCCTCCACTTCAGATCACCACAGAGAATTTGACACAACATCTACGGGTTGAGGACGATATCTTGGAGTCAGTATCCGGGGCGTATCAACCAAATTAGTGGCTTCAACCAAACATTATTAAGAGGCCTTAAGCTTTTTTAAAGAAAAAAAAAAATGATGGTCACATATGTACTTTTCTTTAAGGTAAATTTTTTAGTTTTAGGATGCAAAGTTGTTAATAAGTTTTTACAATCGATTCTCTTTATACATTTTTTTTTTAATTGACAATTTATCTAATTCATCTAATTTTACTTAAGGCATTGATTAAATCGCTCCTTTTTTGAGATTGTATTGAAGTTCAGTTTTTCAACTCTCATTTTTTGTGTGTTTTGAGTAACCCGATTTATATTTTTTTAATTGACACGTTTGAACTCTAATATTCGATAAAAAGTAATATACACCTATAAATAAAATTTATCAGAGGTAAACTTTAATTATAAGATAATAGTCGCTTGTTGCAATACTTGAAAACTTTAAGATAAAGAAAAGAAATGCACAATTTAATTTATTCAATAACCTTGCCCTTATTTTTGAGAGAATAGATAGCTTACGGAATGAAAAGAGGAAAGTACTCGGTACAAGTTTTATTACTTATGAGAAAGGAGGGAAAAAAAAGAATATTGCTATTATAATGAAAATGTCACCATCAATCACATGGCTAGATGATTTTCATTTATTTTTTAATAAAAATCTTATACTTTACTTTTTTATCATACAAGAGTCAATACTAATATTTTGTTAAGAAAAATTAACTGTAAAAACAACATTATTAATTAAATGTTCAGTTTAACTATTAAACAACATTATCAAAAGCTGGGGGGGGCCTAAAGCCTTTGCTTTAGTGGCTTGACCCTCTAGCCGGCCCTGGCAGCATCTCATCAGGAAAAGTCCACTCAAGCTTGAGTCTCGGGGAGTTCCCTCTCCTTTATACTCTGATTTTTAAGGATTAGGGACAATGCTCAATTTTTGTGTGTGGGGGTGGGAAATTTCTTGAGAAGTTTTTATTTTGGATTGTGAAAATAATGGTAGCTTGAAGTGATTTAGTTCTTATTTGAAGTACTTGTTACTTTGAATATATGGTGAATTTCAAATTGCTTTTTTGTTATCTCTTTTGCTTTAATTAAGTTTGCTTTTTAATTGCATAATAAGCCTCTAGAATAGGCCAAAAGTCTGCCTTTGGAATATTTAGCATAAAATGGCATTAAAGAACGTCATCGGTCGAGCTCACCCAAGACATAGCGAGATTACTGGCGGGGGTGTCGACATGAGCCGTGGTTGAGACTAGGGATGCTTAACGGGCGGATCAGGCGGTTATTTACTCTTAACAGTTTGGCTTATCGATTATTTATTTTTAAATGTAGTAATCCGCTAGTCACCCGATAAGATATCGGACGGATTGGTATCGGTTTAGCTATTATCGGGTGGTTATCATTTTAGTTTCAGTTGATTGAAACTTAACATACTTCAACACAGTGTTGGAGAGTACATCCCCGAGACAACAATATAGTCAATATTTTTCATACATATATATCAACTAAATTACACCATGAGGCCATATTACTAGAATCAAATACTAGATATCAAAGAACTATCTGCAGAAAGACACAAGATCAAATTAAGACAGAAACAATAGTTAGTTTGAGAAAATTCAGTTAAAGATCTTGCTAATAAGTAAGGAAAAGTTATCCCTATTTATCAACTCATATAGAAAAATTCTCCCTTTCTTCAATCTAGTTTATTTAAGCGGACTTCATTCTTTAACTGAATATAAGCCAAATATTTATCAACTCAAATATTATTCAGACTTGTGTTATAACATCCTTTAACTGAATATCAACCTGATTTTCAATTGAAGTGAAGAAAAGAATGATTAGAATAGAATCTTTAACTTGCAAAATATGGCCATACATTTTTTGACTTCCTCTTTCCTTCTTCCTTGCTCTGTTGGCTATGCGTGTGTGCGTGGTTGTTGTTTGAGAATTTTTTGACATAGTAAGGTAACGTCACGGATGGAGCTATTCCTTGAAATTTGAAAAGGCAGGCCCGGTTGGCCACCCTTATTTTAAAAATTAGTTCAAGACTTTATGTTTCCAATTCAAACTTGTACCAATTAAGACCGGTTTAATTATTGAAAAGGCAGGCGAGTCGGCGAGAGCTGAGAGGGAGAGGCGAGACAACGAGAGTGGGAGGTAGAGGATAGAGGGTTGGCTGTTGGGTTTAGATGCTAGGGTTTCTAGAGTGTAAATGTTAATAGTTTAATACTGATTATTGGTCTCTAGTGGGAAAAAGACTCAATAGCCAATTAGCTACTTCCAAGCAATCAGTACAATTCACTTTGCACTTCGTACAATTGTCTAGAGCAGTAATATGGATAAAAATAAATTATTATTCTTAATGGATTAATGAATTATCCGTTAAGAAAATTGAATAATCCGCCCCCAAATCGATAAGCCATTAATAAAAAAATTTAATATGTTCCCCGTCCGTTAAGCCGTTAAACCCGACACCAATAAGCCATTAAGCTTCGGTTTCGGTTCGGTTTTGGGTTTCGGTTCGGTTTTGAACACCCCTAGTCGAGACATCGATAGAAATCTCGGTCAAGATGTCAACAAGGGTCGAGGTAAATCGACTACTAGTGATAAGACATGTAACGGTTAATTTGTTAGAACAAGGTATTTAAAAGGGGAATATTCTAGTGAATATTCCTAATGTTTGTACTATTAGCGTTTCATAAGAAAAATGCCTCATATATATATATAGAAAGAAGAGACAATGATAGGGGCATGTAATATTGATTTTGATAAGAATACTTTTGAAACGAAGACTTTCTCTCTTGCAAAAATTAAAAGACTACCTTTCGATAAAGATTCTGGGCCATATCATTTCCACCTTTTCACTGGATCCGAGGATTGTTCATACGAATCTTGGACTTATCTGTCATTCATCATTGTCAGGAGAAATTTTCGTTCAACCCACTCATTATCGGGTCAATTTTTCTCCTTATTTATTTAAATACCATTTATTGTTAGTTATACCTCCATTAATGTTCAGGCTTGAAGGATATTTTGCATTCATTGTCATCAATCATTTACGGGATCTGTCTCATCTACTATACGTTTTCAAGATTAGTGTCTAAATTTATTATCCTTAACTAGATTTAACCCCTTGTTACATAAATTTAATAATTTAACCGGAAGTTATATTTTTTGGTCAAACACCTTTGGTTTTCTTAATACCGTGGTTCTTTCCAAAGGTGATTTTTGTTTGAATCAGATGACTTTACATGCTTTCATAGTTTAGTTTAGTATAGCTTCTTTAGCACTAGTAGTAGCTATTAATGAATAAAATCTTGAATTGAGTTCCTCTTTTGGTAGGTATTTGTATCTCATGTGGTACCAACACATTTATCTACTTGCATATGATTCAAAACAAGTGTTTGATTGGTTTTTTCGATGACATGATTATCTTAGTTAGTGACTTTGAGGTTCTTTGGTTACCTTTGAGTCATTGATTGGGTCGAATGAGCCATTGAGATCTTGTGAAATGATTGTGACCTTGATGAATTTTGGACTCTATATTCATTTATGATTCATTAGCATTAGAGGTAAGGTCGCTAAAGTTCACTTGCACAAGTCGATAGTCTAGAACTTGCCCCGAATGTGCTTCAAAGCGAAATCCTAGGCTATGCACGGTGCAGAACATGATTTTAGGACTTCTTTGGAATGTTTGAGCCTTTAATTTCCACCATTATACATTCCTCTAGTCAACCCATGTTGAGCCTTTAGCCTCTTCCCTTGGCAACCCTGTTATAAGCCCTTTCCCCTTTGTTCGTATATCCGCTTTTGATGCCTTGACCTTCTGAAGCACTTGAAGTCACAACTTCCATAAGTCTAAGTTTGAAGGAGAAGATAGGAGAACTGTGATTAGGAAGCTACTTGAAGTTGAAGCAAGAAGGCAACGACCAAAAAGAAAAGAAGAAAAACAATGAAGAAGGATACAATTGTTGTGAAAGGAGAAAATGAGTAGTTGACAAAAATTAGACTTGATGAAAAAAAAATGATGTCAAAGATGTAAGCCTTGAGGAGCATAAAGTTTGGATGAAACTGACAACAAAGGGTGATGTCAAGTCTCTCTAACTCCAAGTAAGGTGGATTACAAGAATCCAGTTTATTATTTTGCCACACCTTGTTGAAAATAAAAAAAAAGATTTTGAAAATAAAAAGGGAGAAGCAAAGGATTGTGTTATTTAATTGATTGTGTGAAGTGATTAGGAAAGTGTTAGTCACTCTTATCCAAAATTATATCTTACCCCTAACCAAAAGCTTTTATTACAACCCGAACAAAGTCCTAATTGATTTTGAGCCGACCATGCTTACATTAGTGGAATCGTACATAAGGGGCAAGTATATGGTACTTAAGACCTAACTTGTGGACCTTATTTGTGAAAGAAGAGTGAAATATTTTTATGTGTGCAAGATATCCCTCTTGTGTGCTATAAGTTTGAAATGGGAGACACAGTTCCTTTGAAATAGGTGAGACTAATGAAAGGTAGATGAGAAAGAGTTTAGACTTACCAGGGTGTGCATAAATGAGCAAGAGCTCTTGATGACTGAAGTTAACCCTTGAGACTCAAGTGTCACAATTGGATTGCAAGTTTGAATGTGAGACCTTGAATTTGGAAACCTTGTTAAGAATGCACATGACATGTAGTTAATTGTTGGTACCAATTGAGTCATGAATGATGTGTGCTTGATTGTTTTCTTGGGTTGGGATTTGCTTGAGGACAAGCAAAATCTTAAGTTTGGGGGAGTTGATAAGTTGGTATTTTGCTAACTTATTCATACATTTTTCTTGAGTTTTAAGGTTCTTTAAGTAAGATTTAATAGTTTTAACTAACTTAATGTGGTTGATTTCAGATGTGAAATGATATAGTTGATGAAAGAGTGGATCAAAAAAGATGAAAAGAGATGGAATTTGGAGCATAAGATTGAAGAAATTGAAGATTGAAAAGTGAAGAACAATGTTTCCACGAAGTTCAATTGTGGAGCCAAAACTAGGGGTGCAAAAGTTCATGAAAAATGTTCTAGCTACGTACTCTACGATCTTGATCGTCTCCACGAACTACGTACTCTATGATCTTAAATGGCATTTGAAGTAAAGAATTGTGCAAGTTCCGCTCAGCTCCACAA